TTCACTTTTCTACGTCCCCAGCTTTTTCAGCTGCGCTGCACATAGCTGCACAATTATGGGACCTCAGGTCCTATAATTTGCCTCACTGTGCTATCACCATATGATGCCATGTATACTTAGCCATCAAAAGATTTAAGTTTTCAATATGCACCCTCACTTCAATCTTTTAACAACCATTTTCTATTTGTCGCAAATGCCAGCTATCGACAAAAGTGTGGCAACTTTTTATATGACAATGTGACACCATAATGATTTGTAGCTCACCTGCACGCTTGATTTCCTCAAGCGTAAGACTATCACGGAGCAAGATATGGATAGCCTCAGAGAGCTTGCACAGGTGCCTCCAGTAGAGTTGGGGAAGGAGGTCCAGCAAGCATGGAAGGGCATAAAAAAGGAGCCATTGCTTCCACTCGGAGGCCTTCCAGAAACTGCGCTCCTCAATCGAACGAGGTAGCCTTGTGATACAGTGCGGAGGCTTGATGCTTTGGAGGCGTGCATTGACCTTGACAACAGACCCCCGTGCACCTGCAAACCACATGAAAATTCTTAAATTATTGGAACATTTATTGAACAGTGATGTTCATACAAAAAAACAACGTAAATGTACTAAGGTAGTGATTTGGGTAAGTTGGTATACGTTATTCATGATGAAGACAGCTCAAAAATGAAGACAATGAAAAGGAACAAACACAACAGCTTCGTCCTGTCGTGTTTGTTCCTTGTCGTCGTTTTCGTTTTAGGGGCGAAGCTCCTGAGGGGCTAGCCATGTCCGTATGTCCGTCCACCGTCGGGTCACGAGCACGTGAGCACGTGCTCCCGTGCTCGTGTAGGGAAAAAAACAAACTGATCTCCACGTGGTGAATGATGTTGATTGGGGCAGCTCTGGCGGTGCTTGTGTGCGTAGACAATGAGCCGCAGCATGCCAAGCCTTTCCTTCGTTTTCATCCATGTCAGAAAGAGAATGTGTGGTATGAAACGTGGTTATATACGCATTTGAGCATTTGACTGCAGCACGACATGGATGAAAACGAATGAAAGGCTCGGCATGCTGCGGCTCAGCGTCTATGCAGACAAGCACCACCAGAGCTTCGCCCCAATCAACATCATTCACCACGTTGAGATGCGGTTGTTGTTTTTTTTAGCTGTTTTCGCCATGAATAAAAGAAAAAAACAATTGAGTAGCGAATACACACTATAAACAGCCAAACTGAAGTTACAAAAACAAAAAAAAGACCTCCTCTTGTTCAAACATGCAACAGGCCAATGTAGGAGCAAAGCGACAAAAAATGTGGTTAGGTGCATTGTCTGCTAAACCGCTTGTGTGCCTGTGCTGCCTTTTCCACTGCTGCGTTTCAATGAGGTGTCGTTTTTCGTTGTGTGTTCACATACTTTTTAAACTTTTAATATTTCTTGTGTATCTCTGATACTCGAGAAAATCTACTTTTATAAAAAAATTTAACAGCTCGCCCAATTATAATATTTATTTTGACTTTAAAAAAGTTCTAATGGGTCTGGCCTACGGCAAGGTTTCTCACTAACGTCACTGGCTGCACGCATTCAGCGCCACACGTTGTCCGATTCCAATATGCTGCAATATTTTGTAATTCTCTCCTTCCCCCGGGATGCCCAGACCACCACAGAGATAGAAACTGCAAAAAAAACTACAGCCTCAAGTATGATTGCATGGCCACCTTAACAACTGCTGCAAATTACCAACAACCATGCATTGGTAATTGATAGTTGTAACAAAGCCTCTCCCAGGCCTCCCTGTTAAAGAAGTAAACAAGCCAATTCGTGGTGGAACTATTTTGCATAATAACTGTTAAAACTGGAAAGGCAGTTGCTTCATGTCTTCGCTCGTTTCGACCGTTTCGTGCAATGTCACATGCGCAGTGGCTGAGTCAGCCGAGTGAGTCGAGGCGATTTTGCTTGCATAGTATTTGTTACCGCAGGTATTGGCCTCCACCTCGGGTTACATCGAATGGGTTCTCTGTTTTCACTGTAAACATGCCATGAGCTACTTTTCATCAACAAAAAGTTTCATTTGAAACGGGGCTGTTGGCTTCAGTGGAATGCTTTCGGGACGTTTACTTTTGATTGTGTTGATTGTGCTATGCCTGCCTTGAAATATTTCTCATGAAGATTTTAAGTTCTTTACATTTACTGTAAATATGCAGTGGTAGCTTTTTACGCTTTGTGGCCTCGCCTGGAATCTTGACATAGCTCATGTGTCAACTTCAAAATGAAACACAATACTGTTGTGTATCAAGATTGGGTCTAGGAAACAAACAAAACAAACATGATTTTCAAAACTGTAAAACCTGGATATCTCTGATATTCGAAGACTCCGAACCTCACAAACCTGGACCTGAAAGAAACTTCAAATCTATTTATCTTAAATTTAAAAAAATGAAACTATACAGATGTTGCAAACTTTATTCTTAAACAGAATCAAAACATTCAAACTCGAGTTTACAGAAACCTTCAAAGCTTCTAAGTTGGCCAGTTCTAACTTTGGCCGTGTTCAAAGATTGCACACTTTTCTAAATCGAATGTCAGCAGTGTTCGAAAGTTGCAAAGTTAAGTTTGAATCTACGTCAGGTTTACGACATCTTTATTTACACTTACTTTACTTTACTTATTTACTTTACGTACACTCTGCAAGAGCAAAGACGGCATCGGTGCTTTTTCACATTTGCTAAAACAATGCATCGACATGAACGAAATTTTACCACTCAGGCTAGAGTCCCAAGAGAACACTCTTAATCATCCATCAGTTTTGATTACAGCGATTAAACACAGGAAAAACAGGTGATTGTTTCCTCGTGCTAGCAGTGTTGCGTTGTGTGCATGCAGAGCGCAATAAAGGATTACGGCAAGAACCTTGCGACACCAGACCTGCATTTAGGCTGTAGTTGGGAAACAGCAACTGAATAAGATTTAGGGCTTTTTTTCATGCATGGCCAGACATAAAAAAGTGTCAGTAGTTACCCATGTAGTAGGGCTGCCGTGAGCTGGAAGATGAAAAAAGCAGCTCCGTGAACTGCCGCACTACCCCTTGGAGAACGCAGTGCATATACTCGGCACTCATTCCCTCAACCAGGTCAAAGCCTAGGGAAAAATTATACCAAGTTGGTTTCGACACAACACATTCCGCATACAAAAACTACCTTTAAGGTTCATGAGTGCAGATGGACCCTTGACGCCATTCACAGGGTCCCCCAGTCTCTGCGCCAGCACCATATCTCGAGCAAGGAGCTCCGATGTCCTTGGAGCTGGTGCCTCATCAGCGACATAACGTACACATCCTGCAAATGAAAGCAGTGTGCTACATTGAACTCAACAATGGAGATGTGATCATATATACATTTCTGAACTGATATAAGTAATTACTATTAGTAAAATAAGTAACTCATACCTTCCTTATGCTCGCCTTTCATGAGGCAGAACGGACAGCCGAAGAAGCCGTTGAAACACACCATGTTCTGTACTGCAGCACGGGCAGGGGCATCCACGCTGCAGCACAACACAAATGCTCTCGATGCATGACTGCGATCGCCATGTGTCCATGCCACAGGGATCATGTTGTTGACCTCATCAACAAACTTCGTTAGGAAAGCCGACATATCCGGGTGGCATTTTCCAAACCAGAGGGCAGCTAGAGTTGGATGGTGCAAGCGGACAGATGGAGGCAGTTCGTTCACGGTGAACTGTATAGGCCACACCGACGTTTTGGAAGATTTAAAAATAGGGCTTCCGTCAGTGTTAAAGGTTAACGTCAGGTCACTTTGGCCTAATGCAACCTTCTGGCGCAAGGTCTTGTACGCCGCACCCGTTGTAATGTCCGTGATGAGGTCAGAGTTGCTGGATTCAAGCTTTAACAAGCTATTATGAAGGTCAACACTCGTTTTTTCAATCAGCTGCTTGAGTTGTTGGTGAAGGTCAAGCATTAAAAAAAATGAGCCATCCTGCCTTAGCTTCTCAGTCTTCTCCTCAAATTGACAAACATCGCAACTTGCAAGTGTATGATCAGCCTTAAGGACTGTACCACAGCTCGGACACAGGTAGTGATACTTCACTAAGTTGTCTTTTTTTTTTTGGCCCACAGCTTCCGGAGCATGTATGCACTTGGTGGCACAACCGCGCAGCCGAACAAGTCATTAACTAATTTCAACAACTTGTCTAGTCCTGACCAGGTCGATCGTTCGGAGACTGCGTACGCCATAATCATTGCGATGGCACCAGCTTTTGTGGTAGTCGAATGGGGCAATGTGCGCTCCCCGAACTCTTCAAAGCATAGAGTCAGGAGTTCTTCCACTGAACCTGGTCCCAACACTTCGTCGTCAACGTGTTCCGCTAGGTCTTCGCTTGACTCCGGTTCCGACACTTCGCCGTCCATGTGTACCACTAGGTCCTCGCTTGACTCCGGTCCCCGCACTCTGCCGTCAACGTGTTCCGATAGGTATTCGCTTGACTCCGGTCCCGACACTTCGTCGTCAACGTGTTCCACTAGGTCCTCGCTTAACTCCGGTCCCCGCACTTCGTCGTCAACATGTTCCGATAGGTCTTCGCTTGACTCTGATCCCGACAGTAGCTCAGTCTTGAATTTAAAAAGATTAATCCTCGAAATCGCAAAACTACTCAATGCTAAAAAAAAAAAATATATATATTCACGGTGCCATTTTATTTTATCCTCCATAAAGAATTACTCACTAATCTTTTTTTTTTGTGTTTATATTACCACGTTATTTGTTACTCTACTATTTCTTCGAAGTGTGGTTTAATGGAAATAGCAACACGGCGAAAAACAGATTTCGTAAAATCTACTGATTCTTGTGCAAATTTACTTTTTGGGGATCAATCTGCTGACTTTTTTTTTCTCCGTCTGGCAACACTGCGTCGTACTCACGTGGGTAAAGTGAACTGAAACACACGTGGTTTTTGTTGTTCTCTGGCGTGTTTTGGAGTTTTGTTGCCACGCAACGTTGGTATCCCGCGTATACGGCTCTGGTATCTCGCAATAGATCCATGCGAAATGCATGCCTATGTTAAGTTCACTGATGGTGTGCATTTGATTTTGCCCACTTCCCTGGTAAAGAAATTCACGCCTCGCGATGCTGCCGACTTCGACGCGACCCGGCTGTACGAGGCCTACTGGGTTTCAGATTCCGGCGAAGGCGAAGATGAGGACTTCTACAACGCCAACGTTATCCTTCTGGGCGGTAAGTAATTTATTAGGGGTTAAAATAACCTTCCATGCTTTTGTGGGTTAAAAACATCATGCGAGTGCGAAAGCTAGTTTCAAGCCATAAGGCAGGTTTTTTTTTTCCTTCTCCTGCTTTCTTTCTTCTCTTCTTTTCTTTTTTTTTTTTTCTTCTTCTTTCTTTTTTTTTTCTTTTTCAAAATTCAGGCGTGATCACATAGCAAAGACCAGTTTGGGCAGGAAGAGACTGGGGCAGTAACTCTTAACTGCTTTCCTTTCGATCGGTATGTGTGTAGAACCTATTATACTCATGTCACTAAAAGGAGGGTGCTATTTAAGCGTGTTTTTTTGTTGTTGTTTTTTTGTTTTTTTTACAGAGAGTCTTGATGATCTTTTGAAGAAGATGCAACTGAAGCGGTACCCGATTCCTAGGATTTTGGATGGTAGTGCAACGCAGAAGCAGCCTGCAAGAAAGGCAAGAATAATAGTTTTGCTCTGTAATTGCTCTTAAAGACCTAACAAAGATGCCATCTCCAAAGGATACCAAGAACATTTTAAGCTCATTGTGTCCTTAAAAAAAATGGTTGAACACCACACACATGGACTAAATGCAAACGCGACCGGGAAGGGCAAATAAATACTGTTTGGAAAATATCTATTGTGCCAGGATAGGGCCAGCAGAACTTTGGAGAGGAAAGTGTTAAATACAGAGGTAGAAGAGGATACAAGAGACATCTCTATTTCACTTTTTTCTGTCCATGCGCACCGCGAAATGTTTTTTGGGGCAGGCACGCAGTAAAAATCATAGCGCAGAACCAGTCCATACTGTAGCAAAAATCATAAAAATAGCAACTCTATTTTTTTCCCGGGTTAGGCCTAGCTGCTTCTCGGCGAGTATCCCGATAAAATAAAGAACTGAAATTACTTCTCATGCCCATTTTTCCAGTCGCTTTCACTGGTAGTGGAGGTTGTTCCGTAGTAATTTGTGCATGCAAAGCTTACTAGCTTACTTATCTTGTGAGTATGACACTGCTTGAGTAAATATTTGATATTTCTACTGTTTTCATTTAGCATGTCCAAGACCTTGGACGAAAGGAAAAAAAGAACCGGAAGGAGATTGGCAAGCGGTCGAGGCTTGATGACATCGCTGCAGATTTTAAGAAAAAGCAAAAGGTGCAGAATTATCAGACACCTAAATACTTTTGCATTCTGAAGTTATGATATTCCAACAGTGGCAATGTATTTTTACCCAGACCCAGGAGACGAGGGCAGCACCTCAAGAGGATAGGATCCTTCGACATCTCCTCCAGGAGAAAGAGGGCAAAATAAAAAGACTTCAGAAAGAGCTTGCCCAGGAACAGGCTCACAGCCGGAGGCTGGGTTTGGCCCTTGCAATGAAAATTGGTGTGCATGCTTCTCTTTCTTATTACGAACTGAGTCTTTTAAAAAAAGGAGCTATTATAACCTGCATTGCCGTTCAATTTCTACTTGGTTTTTCAGAAGCTGCCTCAGAACCGCAATGGAGGAGGCCTGGTACTTCAAGCGAGGAGCACCTGTTGGCTGAACCACCGTCTTTTGAAGGCATTGAACTGCTCGGTAAGATTCTAGTGTACAAATTTATTTCATCTTTTGATCATGCTTATCCGTGCATCAAATTTTGTTTAGAAGACTCGCCAAGTCGTCTAGTAGAGGAGGTCCCCAAAAGTCCAGTGCCATCAACCTCGTACACAGGCAAGTTTTAAGTTTGTGTTGAGCTTTTACCTGTTAAATGACTGTCAAATGTAATAACAGACAGTAAGATTATCCTTCCCAAAAACTGAGAAAAGTAAATCCGATTTTAATTCTGATACTCTCGAAAATACCGGCAAATTTCTGCAAGCCCAAATGCTGCGCTGGGCAGATGAATACACGGTGCCATTTGACAGAAGGCAACCCTCATGTAGTCACTGTAGTAAATAGAAACTTGTCATCTAGAGGAAGAGCTCATATGTTTGCTGCCTGACGTGGACCATAACTGTCCATCACTTACTGGCAAAGGAAGAAGACTGATTTATTCACAAAGAAAAACGAGAGCAAGTACAAAATGCTGGCATGACCGAGTTGAGGTGCCATATACTCGATTTACCCTTAAGCTGACAGTGCAGTGGAAGGTATGCACTGGATGTACCAATCGGAGCCAGCAACATGCAACATCAACGTGCGTTGTCATCGCGCCAGAGAGTGCGGTGACATCCCGCACAGCTGGCTCTGAATTTGGTCCATCCAGCACGTATCTTCTGCTGCAATGTCAGCTTAGGGTGAACAGAGTATAGTCTGCAATACAACCGTAATTTTCCACCACGCCGTCCACATCGACGGTCACCACCGATGCCATGTTCGCAGATAGAAGGAGACCGGCATGCAACGCGCGCGACCAAGCTCTCCTTGACCTCTGATTGGTCCATCGTTGCAGTCGTTCCCGAACGTAACGAGAAAGTTCAGCCCGGCTCAACTCCTTACGTTGCAAACGAACACGAACAAAACGACCGTTTGGCACTTCGTTGCTATGGTAACTTGTTGTTCCAACCGGTTGCGTTCGTTCGTAAGCGTAGTGGTCGCTCCGAACGCAACTGTCTGAACGGGCCTTCAATTGCATGTGCAAGTGACCCAAAGATTGAATTTTCTAAATCAACAGTAACCTTGAAGTTTGTTGATGGCAGTTGAATTAGGATCTAAGCAGTTTTCCTTTAAAGGGCTCCTCCAACGATATTTCTGCTTCTGCTTCTTCTTTTTTTTTGCGCTCCCTGCCTTTGGTGGTTCGGGAAATTCGGGCAACAAAGACAAGACCGCAAAAAGGGATGGTGCATCATATTTTAATTTGACAAGGCGCAGAACAGTTGATAGATGGTGGCGCAGCAGGATGCTAAATGCGCGTGGCGGGTACGTTAAAAGAACTGGCTTCCTGATTGGCCAGGTCCACCAAAAGTATCTTTCTGAGCACGGAATAATAAGTGACTGTTCTTACCTCATAATTATTTATGAGAGTTAAATTTTTAAGAACTATATGTAGTTTAATAAAGCAGGAAAAGAAGAAACAACAAAAGCAAGTTTTTTGTGATTTGTGCCGCCCCGTGGCATCCCTGTCGCGGAAACTGAAACCAAACTTTTAGACGACACATTGTACTTACAATAAAATAAAATACAATAAAATGCTAACATGCTCTCTCTTTTCGTGCGCTTTCACGAAACTCGGCTAGATGAGTGGGGACCCCAGTCACCCCCGTGGCGTGCAGGGGGCGACCTGGGTAACGGAGGGACGATGCACGAATGCAAGCACGGAGAGGCGAGCTGAGCGCCGGCGATGTGTGCGCGGCTTTGGAGAGGCGGCCATTCTATTTGACACGCCAGCGGCTTAACGGCGAAGGAATGTTGTGCACCTGCGTAAACCCAGTCCAAGGCAACACTGTACCAAGGATAGCCGACGCTAGAGTCACTATACAGCTACGATGTGGATCTGGCTGTGGAGGGGTGACAGCATGTATCGCGCGTACCATTGGCAGCTCCATTTACGTCAGAGTGGTCTGCTTTTGTAAATTTTATTTGCTTATAACTTCCCAATTAAATTTTATTTTGGAAAATGTGTTTTTTTTGTGTTTTTTTTGCGTTGCTTGTTGTCACTAAGCACAAGTTTCAGACCAGTCAGAAAATGATCGGAGGGGCCCTTTAAAGTAAGAGTTTGCTTATGGCACTTCTTCCTTTTCGCTAGTTCTATACCAAAACCTACTCGAAACCTATCTTGAAATGTGCTCAAAACCTGTTCAGAGTTTACTTGACACCTATTGCGAAACTCGCCTTGAAACTGTGTGTTCACCAACCATGGGCTCTTTTGGAAAAAGAAGCTGGCCCCTGGTGAAATTCGAACTGTGCCAGTGCCGGTCAGTGCAGTTAAAAATCAATGCCTTCATCTACTCGGCCACTGTCACAAGTCTGGTAGGGTGTATGTAGATGGGCGTTATAAACCACACACCAGCACGTCTGTGGTAGCACATTGACACGCTGGTGAGATACTCCACGGTATTATTTCTTTTCAGGCAACCTTTCCGGAGCGGAAAAGTCTACTGACGAACCTTCACTGGGCCGAGCTCCTTTTCCGTCAGCTGACCAGCAACCAGGCAAGTACAGAAATGCTCAAAAGTGGCAGAAAGCAGATTTCTGATACAGTTTGTTTACGGTGGTGATTAACTCTACGGTCTGTAAGGATCCTAAAAATGCGCTCCCTGCCTGTGGTGGTTCGGGAGATTCAGGCAACAAAGACAGGACCGCAAAAAGGAATGGTGCATCATATTTTAATTTGACAAGGCGCAGAACAGTTGATAGATGGTGGCGCCGCAGGGTGCTAAATGCGCGTGGCGGGTGACGTTAAAAGAACTGGCTTCCTGATTGGCCAGGTCCACCAAAAGTATCTTTCTGAGCACGGAATAATAAGTGACTGTTCTTACCTCATAATTATTTATGAGAGTTAAATTTTTAAGAACTATATGTAGTTTAATAAAGCAGGAAAAGAAGAAACAACAAAAGCAAGTTTTTTGTGATTTGTGCCGCCCCGTGGCATCCCTGTCGCGGAAACTGAAACCAAACTTTTAGACGACACATTGTACTTACAATAAAATAAAATACAATAAAATGCTAACATGCTCTCTCTTTTCGTGCGCTTTCACGAAACTCGGCTAGATGAGTGGGGACCCCAGTCACCCCCGTGGCGTGCAGGGGGCGACCTGGGTAACGGAGGGACGATGCACGAATGCAAGCACGGAGAGGCGAGCTGAGCGCCGGCGATGTGTGCGCGGCTTTGGAGAGGCGGCCATTCTATTTGACACGCCAGCGGCTTAACGGCGAAGGAATGTTGTGCACCTGCGTAACCCCAGTCCAAGGCAACACTGTACCAAGGATAGCCGACGCTAGAGTCACTATACAGCTACGATGTGGATCTGGCTGTGGAGGGGTGACAGCATATATCGCGCGTACCATTGGCAGCTCCATTTACGTCAGAGTGGTCTGCTTTTGTAAATTTTATTTGCTTATAACTTCCCAACTAAATTTTATTTTGGAAAGCTTTTTTTTTTTTTGTTATTGCGTTGTTTGTTGTCACTTAGCACAAGTTTCAGACCAATAAGAAAATTATTGGAGGGGCCCTTTAAAGTAAGAGTTTGCTTATGGCACTTCTTCCTTTTCGCCAATCCTATGTCAAAACCTACTCGAAACCTATCTTGAAATGTGCTCAAAACGTGTTCACAATTTACTTGACATCTATTGCGAAACTCGCCTTGAAACTGTGTGTTCACCAACCATGGGCTCTTTTGGAAAAACAAGCTGACCCCTGGTGAAATTCGAACCTGTGCCAGTGCCGGTCAGTGCAGTTAAAAATCAATGCCTTCGTCTACTCGGCCACTGTCACAAGTCTGGATGGGTGCATGTAGATGGGCGTTATAAACCACACACCGGCACGTCTGTGGTAGCAGATTGACACGCTGGTGAGATACTTCACGGTATTATTTGTTTTCAGGAAACCTTTCCGGAGCGGAAAAGTCTACCGACCAACCTTCACTGGGCCGAGCTCCTTTACCGTCAGCTGACCAGCAACCGGGCTAGTACAGAAATGCTCAAAAGGGGCAGAAAGCAGATTTCTGATACAGTTTGTTTACGGTGGTAATTAACTTTACGGGCTGTAAGGATCCTAAAAATGCCAGAGTTGTGATCATGCGCACCATATTTTTGTGTTAAAACAGCAATTCAAAATGGCAGCCAGAATGACAAAGGGTGCCCATCAACAAACAGCAAGTGAAGGTTTCCCGCGCCCCTGACTGGCCGACCCGTAGGAAATTTCTTGAATGTGTCTGTGCATCGTAGCCCAAACCTTGTTTCTCAATGGCGAGTCTTTTGTCGCACCATTGTGCCATGGAACTATCAAATCTGTCGCCCCGCAAGCTCGAGAGACCGGAATGGACAGCAGACATGGGGGCCATATTGTACGATGCCATCCCGATTAGCGACATTGATGACGGTCATTGGAAGCGTTCGCTCTAGGAAGCATGCTAAGCGGATACAAGAAGGTGCAAAGAAAATGTATTTTACTGTTTTCAATACGATGATTACAGTACTGTTGCCCACACTGCGGAAAATGTGTTTCTCTCGAAGTATAATTTGAAACGAGCCTAAAAAGGTAAAATGATGTTTGCAATCTTTGCAAAATGTAGCATTTTCATTAGTCAACTTTTACCGGTGGACCAGGGTGTTTCCTTCGTAGAGAATAGTTTGAATTTATTTCTATTGCAACGTGCTCGATATTTGGTTTTATAGTCTGAAACTTTTAATATGCACTAGCTGACACCTACTACACAATACAAAACCAAAACCAAGGTTCTTCAAAAACCTGGTTGCACCCTCCTTACCATTCTCTGATGTGGAAAGGGAGGGAGGCGCAGGTTGTGTCACAAGCTGCACCGGTGGATGTTGTGTAAGGGCAGGGAGGTTTACCATTTTTACTTTGTGTGAGCAATTTTCTTGGGGTTGAAGATTAGGAAAGGGACAGCGTGTATCACGTTTGGGTAAATTTCTGCCTGTAGTATACTTCTTTTCAGCGCAGGTTAGCAAAAGGCAAAAGTATTTTGCGATTCATTTGGAGCAACGCAGCAGATGTGTCAACTATCCCCAAGGAAAAGTGCACTTTGACTGTGCATTGTCATGTTCTACGCTCATACATTCTAATTGGGGCCCATCTTTTTCACTTGCCAAGTTCGCTGAAACCAAGGAGGTTATAAATAGTAGGAGGGGGCACATTGCAATATGTGTGAAGCCTAGTCATAAACAGTTTAAACGATTTTGTGCCCAGCGTGACCTCAGATCTCTCTGGCGATTGGTGCGCGTGACATGTCACCTGGGAGATGGATGGTTGATTGTAGGACTCCTTGCAGGCTTGCGCGCGCTCCGTCCGGTAGGTTTTATCAGATCGAAGGCTAGACTGTGATGTATTCTAGTACCCCATAGCTTGACGAAGGCTAGCTATGGTCACGTGATGTGGCAACGTTGGCATGGTAAGTGAGGAGAGTAAGGAGGAAAATGAGAAAGAGGCGAGGCGTCAAGGGAGCATGGCTTGTGGAGGCTACACAGCCGACGTCATGCCCTCTCCTACCCTTCTATCCTCCTTGGCTGAAACAGAGTTTAGTCTGTTAATCATTTTAGTGGATTTCAAGAGCCATTCTTGGGAGCAAACCATCTCCTTGTCCCAAATATTTCTGATGAAATAAGCTCTACACCTGAGTGCAAGTCAAGATAATACTGCTGACATACTGTGTCTATTTTGGTGCAACATAAGAAAAGTACAAGCTTCGCCTTCAGCTCCTGATCGTTTCCTTCCGTCGTATGCGGCTGAGTGTTTGCTGAAGTGTTACTAAAGATAGAAAGGTTATGCTGGAGGCAAAGCTGTTACTATTTTTCTTCTGTGGCAACAGCGTATGGTATCGAATATTTAAGACAACCCTGAGACAGGGGGCACAGAAAGGGGACAGAACACGATCAAGTTTCTTGTGAGACTTCGTCGTGTTCTGTCCCCTTTTTGTGTCCCCTGTCTAAGGGTTGTCTTAAATCATGATTGTAAACCAGCTCGTTCTGTGTTTTGTCCCTTGTCCGTATCCCCAGTCTCGGGTTTACAACTATGCTAAACCAGCTCGGCTGCGCCTTATCACTCATTATAGTATCCAAATTGATAAGGATTTCGAATCTAAGCAAAGATACTACCTTGCTTGCAGGATTCCTGCTGCCAGAGCCCGCTCTACCATGTGCAGGCCCTGCACCACCAGTGCTGATCGAAGGAGATGGAATGGTAAGTGACCAAAATTGCTGTGAAGGAACAATGAAGACGATTTAGGAACTTTGTTTGACGACTGAAATAGGCTTCATGTATAATCCAGGGAATGTTGACCAATTTTTGGCCCTAATCGTCGCCTGCGTGTCGCACAACTTAATAGACTGAGCTCACTAATCGTTGGCGCATGCATCACGCCACCATAACTGTAGTTCACTGGATGCTGATGGCAGTACACCAGACAGCTCGTGCTTTGCTCGCGTAGGCTAGGCTTGCAGCTGGCTTGTGGCATGTGCAAAAAGACTGCAGCTCCCAGGACACATTGCGGCAGCGGCGGCCATATTTATGGTCATATTTACGGCCATATTTACTAGAGTCCTTCGTTACTTTCCTAGTCATGGAACTTCCCCGTAACACTATGGGAGCGCTTCGTGTGCTGCAAAGCGTGACTGTGCAGTGGCGCTAGCGTAGACAGTTCAGCATAACTGGACAGCAGATGGGCATTCAGTAAACGCAGTGGTTGGCCCCCCGGAGCCCACAATCAAGCCCCACGGCCGGTTCGCTCATCTTGCGGTTGCGGTTAAGAGGAATTTTTATGTCGCAATACCAGCTCCACGGGGACATGGAAGTACCTAGCGCCCCTGCCTGATGGCGCGAAAATCCGTGTCACTTCAAGCACTAAAGTTGGATTTCGCATGCACAAACTGACCGCAGAGGCTTGCAATTCGAGTCTAATTAAAAGCACCCTTGCACTTTAGGAGTGGCAGGTAAAGTTACGGCCGGGGAACACCAAGATGAGCCAAAATGATAGATAAATCACGCTATAAAAAAGCAGAATCGGGACTTGGCGTGGAAGGCTTCGAATTGTGGCATGATAGGACTTCTATGTTATAAATTATATTTTACGCGTGTCTTACTTTTTAACTGTGATCCTTTTTTAAAAATTGTGCTTGCTGTGTCTAAGTTTTTCTTTCTTGCTCAACTTATCTTTTATAAGTTAGTATTACAAAATGTTATTGTTATTATTATTTTAGTACTTAATTTTATTATATTGTTATTTTTATTATTACAATAAAATAATATTACAAAATATATATATGTACATAATATTACAAAACTGTTGTCACAGCAAAATGTAGAAACTTTTATCGCATTTCACGCAAGTAAACGTTTAATCTTTTATCTGGGTTTTACAACTTTCTCATTGCAACTACAGCTGCTAGATTTTTTTTTTTGTGGATGTTTCAATTTTTGAGTTTACACAACTGCAGTGTCTGTTAGGGCCAAATATGCGCCTTCTGTTATTGAATGAGTCGTAGCAAGCACCTTGAATATTGAAAAAACAGATAGAATTGTAGTTGCTGGGGAAACAACGTTTGTTTCGACCCAGTTTGTATGAAAGTCATGCTAATGCCATTATGAAAGTCATGCTGATACCATTACCTTGGCTTCCTTTTAACAAACATGAAACCATGTTATCAGCGCAGTAACTTAGCTTGATCTTTTTTTTTCTTCAGGCTTGTCGATTTAACAGGTGATTCAAACAATAAAAAGTCTGTGGCACAGTCGTGCAAGTGGTAAAAAAAGCAAGACATGCGTAAAATATAAATCTGAAAAAAAAAAAAGGTGTTTAGTGTTGGCGCGATTTGAACCCAAAACTTTCACGCAGCGATGACAAGACTCAACACCGTTACCAGTCCGCCACGCAAGACGGCAGAACTTGCGCAGCTGGCGCAGACCTATATGTATAACACCACTGCTTTTGTCTTGCGTGATTTATCTTTTATTTTGGTGCATATCGACCTTTTCCGGCTGTAACTTTACCTGCCGCTTTTAAAGTTTAAGGGTGTGGTTAATTAGACTTGAATTGCAAGCCTCTGCGGTCAGTTTCTGCGAGCAAAGTCAAACTTTTGTGCTCGAAGCGACACGCATTTCTGTACCATTAGGCAGGGGCATAGGGTGCTACATAGTTCCATGTCCCCAAGGAGCTGGTCACGTGACATAAAAATCCCTCTTGGCCACAGCTGCAAGATGAGCAAACCGGCCCAGGGGACTGATTTTTGTCACGGGTGGGAGAAAAGTCAGAGTCTGCTCTCGCTGAGGGATGCTAAAATACTGTTAGCAGACACGTCGTCCGGTAACGCAAGGGAAAAGTGTGGTTTGTCTGCTATGAGGCATCGACGCCATTGTGGGCCGTATGGTACTAATTATGTCCCACGGGCGGGTGGAGAGGTCGGGAAAAAAAAGTTAAACTGAGAACATCTACTATTTCCTGAAGGGCGCAGTTGATGACCTGTGCTTCATTTTGAAATGCGAATTCCATTCGTTCTCCTGTCGTACATAACCTGACATCCGCTGGTGAATAATTAAGAATTAGAAACAAGCACCTACCTCGCATGCGAGAGCTTTCCTCTTCCGTAAATAGGTGAGGACTTCTGACCTACTTAGGATTATGAAAGCTCTCGTATGCCAGGTAGGTGTTCATTTCAAATTCTTAATTATTCTCGGGTGGATGTTGGGTTACGTACGACAGGAGGACGTATCCAAATTTTCTAAACGATGCACAGGTTGTCGATTGCGTCCTTCAGGAAATAGCGGAGGTTTCCAATTTAACTTTGTTTTCGATCTCCTCTATAATCTCACCACCTGCTAGCTAGTATCTGCTAGCAAGTGGCGTCTCTGTTCCGTCAGCAAATGACACCTCGTGGCAGACGAACCGCGCCTCTTTTGTAGCAGACGAACCCCGATCCGGCTGAGATCGTGCTCTCACCACTGACCAAAATCGGGCTCCATGATTAGAAAGTTTTAACATATTAGGTGACAGCGTCTCTAAATCGACTGGAACAGAAACTGCCAGTAAGCTTCACAGCCATTCTTTTTTTTTTTTTTCGGCATGTCAACAGATTTGCAGCTTTCAAATGCGAGGTTAGAATGCCAGAGTTTAAACGATACTGGATTATCTGAGACCTTAATTTTAAGCGCAGTCACGAAGAATGAGCATCATGCTGCCGATTCAAGTACTTTGCGCAAAGGCAAGTGTGAAATTGTGGGTTGCGTGTGCGTAGTCGCGCACTGGAGACTTTGCGCGAAGATAAGCGTGAGTTTGCGGGTCGTGTGTGCGTAGTCGCGCACTGCATGACCAGGCATGAGTGGCATTTTCATTCGTAACTGCTGTATTTGTTAAAGCATATGGGTAAACCTGCAGTCCAGAGGAAGAGCAAGAAGACACGCGAGCAGAATACGCGCAGCACGGCCGACCTGAACACAGTCTTTCAGCACGAGAGCTGCCGCTCGAGTCCCGTAATGAAGTTTGAAATTGTGCAGTAGATTTTCAGTGAGCTTGCTGTTCTTAGATCCAAATAGGCAAGTAGCACCCTAAAAAACAGTCCGCTTGCTTTTTTTTTTTTCTCGGTCACAGGTTTTTTTGTGAGTATACGTAAACGTCCACAATTACACCTTCAAAGAGGCATCTCCGCGTCAACACCGCTGGTTCCTCTCTTAAAGCTTGGCATTTTAGTGAAGGTATGTTTAAAGTATTCTCGTATGCAAGAAATTGTCAAGCAAACGGAGGATAGCAAGAGTATAGGTGGTTTGTCCTTACTTTTGACAGGAGCTTCTGTTCCTGTATCAAACTTCGGTGGAAGTTTCATGACCAAAAGCATTATTAAGGACTCTGGTTTCCCATTCAAAAGTAGTGTAAGGCTTCTTCCTCATTGATTTTCTCATTCTCGGCGTCCACGGTGGGTTCTTTGCTACCTACCAACACCACGAAGTCTTCGTTTGTTGGAGCACCGCACACCACCACAGTGCTGTCAACATCCACGTAGAGTTTGCACAGCCCCTTGAAACCTAATACCCTTGAAAAAAGAATTTCAGTGCCCTTAATACTCCTGGAATTTATTTGCATTCATTGTATTTCTTAAACATAAACACGCAGGCGGGTCAGTTATTGTCATTATTTGAATATCGGGAAAACTTTGTTCCGGCTCTTTTCTTTAAAACTTAGGGCCAAGCAAACTCGTGACAATAAAATGGCGTGTGCACTTAACCCGCAACGGCACATGATCTTGTTATATGGCAGTATCATTATGAAGTTCAACGTTGGGTTTGATAATGTGACTAAGACTCACTGTTTTGCCAAACTGTGGTAGTCTACTAGATGGAATGTTTTCCAGATTAGTAGATTATAGTGTTCACAAGGAAATTCTTATTGAATGCAGGTTCACCTTGGCAGTGGACTAAAAGTCGCCAAGCTTAAGCTTGATGATTTGGTATCGAAGCTACCGGAACAACGCTTCGTAAAGGACCTTTCCCGGACGATCTACTCTACTGCTGAGCTCTGTGCTCGCAGCGTGACCGGAGAGCCGAGCCGGCGCTTTCTGAAAGAGGGCGCGAAAGGAAAGCTGCCGGTGACACCTGCAAAGATGATGGCCCTTGCAAGTAAGTGCATAGACTGTCAAAATATATTAGAATGAAAAGGGGTCAACTTTCAACAAATAATGTAATAATGTAGAAAGTTGATAGAGTTGGTAAATGTCTTAAAAACAATGAGTTGAGTGATGTGCTGTCCTTGTTCAAGTCTTTTTTAAATTTAAACTATTTGGAAAACCATAAATTTATTGAGGTTCACTTGGAAAACTAACAGGAATAATAAGGTTGAAGTATTAGACAACTAAATATTTAATAAATGAACTTGTGCTCACAAACAAAATAAAATTGGTGGCGACTAGCGTTGGCGGTGTCGATGTCAGCGTGACTGGTAAGACCTTACCATAACCCAAGACTATCTGCCTGCAGCCACCATGTGCTTCCTTTTACACACATTCGACAGCCAAGAACATTTCCTAGAATAGAAAAAACAAGCTTTCATGGTTATATTTAACTGGGACATTCCAGACAACCAGAGGATAAAAAGAACTACCGGTGCCCAATATTGGGCCTCTGCCCAAGAGCTAAATGTGCTGCCATCTTGGCCATGCATGCTGCATTATGTTTTGTGAAAGCTTTGCAAATGCAATCCCTCTGCTTTTTTTTTTTTTTTTTGCTTAAAGGGCCCCTCCAACAATATAATTATGTTTCTGCTTTTTTTTGCGCTCCCTGCCTTTTCTGTGGTTTGGGGGATTTGGGGAACAAAGACAAAACTGCAAAAGAATGGTGCATCATATTTTCATTTGACAAGGTGCGGAATGGTTGTATCGATGGTGGGCGCAGTGTGGTGCTAAACGTGCGTGGCAGATGACTTTAACGGAGCTGGCTTCCCGATTGGCCAGGTCCACCAATAGTTTGTTCCTGAGCACGGAATAATAAGTGTGAATGTTCTTACCTCATAATTATTTATAAAAGTTGTTTTTATTGAGCTCTAAGACTAAGGAAAAAACTAAATGTACTTTAATAAAGCCCAAGAACAACAAAAACAAGCTCTTTGCGACATGTGAGCCGCCCTGCGGCATTCATGTCGCGGAAACTGAAACCAAACTAGCAGACGACGCATTGTACACACGTGCTCTCTCTTCTCATGCACTTTTACGAAACTCGACTCAGTGAGTGGGGACCCCGGTTGTTGCGGCATGCGGGGGGGCGACGATGAAGGACGATGCACGGATGCAAGCACTGAGAGGCGAGCTGAGCGCCGGCGATGCGTACGCGGCTCTGAGAGGCGGCACGCCCACCGCCCAGCGGCTCTGCGGCAAAGAAACACAAGGCACCACTGTATCAAGGATAGCTGACGCTAGAGTCACTATTGAGCGACGATGTGGATCCGTCAGCGGAGGAGCCGCCGCGTGTTTTGCGTCTACCATTGGCATCTCCATTTACGTCACGCAGTGGCCCACTTCTGTAAATTTCGTTTGCTTATAGTGTCCCGAATAATTTTTATTTTGCAAAGCGGTTACCGTATTTACTCGAATATAACGCGCCCTCGATTGTAACGTGTACCCTTTTCTCGAGGTCCGAAAAAAGAAAAAACGCCATGACTTCGATTGTTACGCGCGCCAGATTTTGTAGGTTAAATACAGAAATTAAACTTTTTCTCACTTGGAACAAAGGTTTATTCCGAATGCTTCAATCTTGCGATGAAATGAACGGCGCTGTCTCGCCGGCAAGGTCGTCATCATGGCGACGGTCTGGTGCAGCGCTCGTGGGACAGTATGCATCACTCGTCATTGTTGTCGGACAACTCCTTATCGCTGTCAACGGCCCAAAGCGTTTCATCTTCGGTGCCGTCCATAGCGTTAGGAATTCCACACTTCTTGAAGGCCTTGATAACCATGGCAGACGGGATCGTGCACCATGCATCTTTCACCCATCGCACGTGATGCGGCCCAATTTCCATCGCTCTCTGCGTACAATATCCCTTTTCTTTTGAATCCAGCATCATGGTGAACGCGGTGGGTCTTTGCAGTGGGAACTTCCACGCTGATATGAAAGAAACACAGGAGCTGGCTACGCAGCTTCTTAGCGCGTAATGGGCGGCTATTTTGGAATATCGATGGCGATATGGTAGCGCAGTTTTGGTCGCACTCGTTTGTAGCGCACATGCGATTTTTGGACCTTAGTTAGATTCGAGTAAATACGGTAGTTTCTCAGTGTTATTGCGTTGCCTGCGGTCACTCTCGGCACAAGTTTCAGACCAGTCAAAAAATTATTGGAGAGGCCCTTTAAATCTCTGTATTCGGGAATGGATGGACACATTTCCAGGAATAGACGGAGACATATTCCCTGTAAATCAGCTCTTAAAATTATTAGTTACATGGTCATGGATGTTTTACAATCTGGATTTAAGTTGATTGGTGTCTTTGGCCAGGTGTTTTGGTACTGCCAACCTAGGTTTATAATTGCCACTGTAGCCACTTGTGGAATGTTTTTGTTAAAATGTTTACCATATGATTTGTAGACTTGCACTGAGTTAATTTAAAAGGAAGTGAAGGATGTGCCCGTTCTGTCCTTCATCTTAATGTTCCTATTAATTCTTCCGTGGCATATTACCGTTAAGATTTCATCCATTAAAAAAGAAGCAATTTTTTTCAATGCTATGTATATATATAGTTAAGAGTTCAAAACCATATGCTTTGACCTTGATAGATCTACTTGCAAGTTTCAAATGATGTTACGCCCACACCAACCTGAATGTACCGATGACATTTTGACAATACTTGTCATGCATGGTCGCTCTCGAATTGCGCTTACCTATTGGTAGAAAGAAAAATTCTGTCTTTGTGTTGTGCATTTCTAGTGCTTCAAAAAATTTACAGGGAATTAAGCCCTCCAGTTCCTTTAAATTATATATATTATGTTTGCGAAATTATAACAAAAAGAAAAAAAAAGTTTTTCTTCCTTGCACAGCTGTTTAACGCAGATATATTTACAATTTCTCCAGGTGGCCTGATGTACTATGAGAGGGCAAAGAAGCCAGAGGCTGAACGTCGCCCGATCCTGGAGCTCCAGACGGTAGTCCGCGACATCCTAAAAGACTTCTTGCCTGATGTTGCGAGGCAGGGCAGGAGGAGGGTCGCTCCGAAAGAATAAAATGGCAGTGATTCCTTATACCGTTTCACAGTGGAATTATTTACTCAACGGCAAGTACATACTAGTTGTACCAGCGTGACAAGTTAATGTGACCAGTTGAACCACCATGACCAGTTCAACCGGTTCAACCAGTATGACCAGTGTGACCAGTTCAACCACCATGACCAGTGTGACCAGTTCAACCACCATGACCAGTGTGACCAGTTCAACCAGTATGAAACTGGTCAAACTGGAGCAATATCCAAGTTTGAAACTGGTATCAGTTTGAACTGGTTGCCAGTTTAAACTGGTCTTTCCAATAGGGCTGTTTAATCGGATTGATGAAGCTTGAGATGTTTATGTCAGCCCTCCTTGACACCGCGTTTATCTTACGGTGCCATGACTCTATGCGGTTGTGGGTCCCTGGTTTTCGCGGTGGTCCGACTGTTGAACGGAAAAATGGCCATTCAACCAGGTGTCATCAAAATAGCCATTGACAAACACCGGAGATTGCGGAATGAAAGTAATATAATGAAATTACTTTCAGTGGTATTGAAATAATGGAATAATCACTTTTCTAAGCCGGTATTTTTGTGATGTAATGAATTGCTTTAACGCTGTAATTTCGAAAAATTACTTATTACTTTTGACATTACTCTTGCCCCAAACGAGAAAGTTCATTTTGAGAGCGTTAAAAAAATAGAAACAGCATTTTGCATGGTGAGATGCCGTAAGACATAAAAGAAAATAAATGACGGCCATCTGAGCTCAAAGCCTCATACCAAAAACGCGACAGACGCACAAAAACGGGCTGGAAAACCGAAGGAAAACCTTATGTGTAAAGATATTGCTGGAAGGCCACGGCTCACGAACTACAGGCAAGACAGAATCACGGCGTCACGTCATCTCTACGATACTATACTTTGTTCATTCTAAAGCTGCCAATGCGGTGGAAAGTACCAGCCTACTAATACCAATCAACCAACTTCCTTTGATCACCTGACACGTTCCTTTCTTTGCACGTGTGTATGTGTGAGAGCGTGGTTACTTGGCGAAATATAGACCTGTGACTGTTGCAACGAGCACGCAGCTTCCACTGCATTATCAGCTCACTCATGAACGTCAAATAGGCTGCAAGGCGAAGCGCACACCACTAGTGAGGTCAACAGATTTTGAAACCTGAGACAACAGAACAAACAGATCCCTAGCCTTCTTGCTCTTTCGTCAAGCAAGGTCAAACCGTAAGCTCCGTTCACTGTGGACAACAAACGATCGAAATAAATAGCTAATCTCAAATGCGTTGTCAATGCCCCAGAACGTTTCGTGCGTATCGTTGGCCTTGTTAATTTAAGTAAAGGTGCTTTTTGTAGTCGGAAAAGTCTGGGATCGAGCAAATCATGTGCCGCTCCCGGTAGGCCTCGCTTAATTTTTTTGCGAAGTTTATTCGGGAATAAGCTTACGAGCAGATAGTGTCACCCCTTTGTTTGCAAATAAAACGATTTAGAAGCCATTTTTTTCTCTACTGGCGACTCCTCTGCCTAGAAAATATGCAGGCGCCTTGTGTGACAACGTGCAACGACTCGTGCTCTTCCGGTGTTTGTGGCCAATACTTTTTTTGAAGAATGATCGGAAATACGTCTAGTAGTGCTCTTGGGAGATTGGGCTTAGATTGCGTCCGAGGTGGAAGAAAAACATTTCACGTGACGACTCCTTCCTAGAGCGAGGTCCCATGGACCAACTTAACATGCTGACAAGGTCATTAACTTATAAATGAGGAAGCCGGAAATAAATCACCCTTTATCACATCATACTTTACATATTACTTTAGTTTTGATAATATAATTACTTTTAGTATTTCTGAATTCGTTACGTAAATATTTAGATTTTTTCACTCCTTAAAAAGTGATAAAAATGCATCTAATTACTATTTAAAAAACAATTGCTATATCTGACGAAGACAACTTGCGCTGCTGACAGCGATAACTCATGCTCGTTCGTAGCAGCACGACAATCACCAGAAAAGTGCCAAAAGCGACTGCTTGCGATCGAACTTCCAAGGTTGTTATGGGAGAGGGCACCAAAGACGGCAGACAATGGACGCTTGAAACGACCCAACTGATTAAGAACTATGGTGGAAGCGGGGAGGTTGTTTCGGAATGGGGCTAAATGAGAATAGATGAAACGAGAAGGTCGTTTTGAACCGGGTTGAAACGTGAAGGTACAGACGAGAAATTGGAAATGCGAATGGGTCGAAACGGGACCCACCAGATAGAAAAAATATCCAACATTGGTCAACACCCCTCACATCTCTCCTTTTCCACCGACAATAACATACTTAAGAATTTAGACTAGTTTTAACTGGTTCGTTCACGTACACATAGATATTATTAAAACACGTAGCCTTGCTAGCTAGACGTAAATATTCACTTACGAACCCTTTCTAGCAAATTTTATCTTTATCTACAACGTTAGTATCGTTCCAACCAACGCAGAAATCAGAGCAACTAAAAAACATGCTTACCCAGCTCAGAATATTATCTGTTTTTTTTAGTGCACGCTTGTGTTCGCATAACATATTGTTGAGACACCTCGCAGTCTAAGCTACGTAGATAGAACCACATTTCATAAACAAAGCTAAGGTCACAAGCCACCGACGGTTATGTATGCTTATTTTCACACGTTACGTGTCCTGACAAAAAAGCCCTTAATCAAAGAATAAAACTCAGGTTTATAAAGTACAGTTACACCGAACCAATTGCAATCGCCTTCAGGTTATAAGAACCGTATGAAAGTAAGGCAGCAGACAACCTTTGCTTTTATCGAAGCCCTCTAAGGGCTGCTTATTAGCTCAAGCTAATAACTGGAAAACAACTAATGGCGCATCCTCCCTGAGTGCCGTGATGACTTACCACGACATACCGTCTTAAGAGTCATCATGGAGTACTGAAACGCGGTCGGAAATCATGGGAGGTATTTTGTCGACGTCACGACGAAGCAGTCAGTGGTTGTCCCCTGCGAGAAATTATAGCCTTCACTGGACAACGAGGCCCGAGTTGTGACTGACTGCGCAGAGGGTACAAGAGTAATATTCGTAATCCTTGTCAAGTTCGGTTTTCTTTGTCAGCCGTACGTGTTTCGGAGAAGTGTTTTAAAATCTGTCTTAGAATGAAGCCGTCGATATCTCATACCGCTGCTTAAATTTACGAAGTAGCACACAACATTTCCTCCAATGAGCAACAAGTTGTATTCCTTGACAAGTCAGTAAAGTGTGTCAGCAGAGTGGTGGTATAGTATCTGTGCATTTGAGATTTGGTGCTTTGCGGTTGTGCGTAAGGGGAATGATGAATTGGAACGTGATGAGGTGCCATTGTTACAAACGGACAAGTCGGGAAAGTTTGGAAACCTATCAAGGACGAGGTTTGATGGAAGGGTTAATACGGTTGAATTAACCCTTAGTAAGTAGTAGATTGACAATTACGATCGTTTTGAACTAATGGGAGATTTTGTCAGTGACAAACCAGACAATGACTGCTAGGGAGAGTTCGCTGTGCGTAATGTTTTGTTGCTAAAATACTTAAATATGTATTTGCATTCAAAATTAGGTTGAGGAGGCTTTTTAAGAAAAAAAAGTTCGAGGTGAATTTTAGCGCATCTTTGTCGTATGAAATTGAATGTCAAAACTATTTGAGTCGAACGTAATAATAGACTCGAGAAGACCCAAAAAAGAGATCACTGGGTGTGACGTCAGACCCAGAGGTATGACATCACACCCAGCGCCACAATGTTGATATATTTGTATAATACATCACGAATATTGCCTCTCACCGAACACACCGGAAAGGTGAAGCATCAGTACTATTTTCACAATGATGTTGTGGCTACATTGCGCATTAACCTGAACTGTAAATTGGATATTCGTGATCCCGGAGGCCAAATGAAGATGATTTAGGTGTGTTTGCTAAAAGTCGAAATCGCATTAGTTTCCCTTAAGGGTTGTAGTTAATGAGAATGGCTATTGGCAAATTGTTTTCGGGTTATATTTTAGAGAAGACTAAACACCGTTGAAGTTGCAAGCACCCTGGTTTTGCAGCATGCAGATCATATACTGACTCATATTGTCACGAATGTAAAATTATGAGGAGGCTAATACCTGAAGAAACTAAACGTTTAATGCAGCGAACTTGTGCCAAAACAGAACAAGAATAAATGGCGGGTAACAGGCGTCGCAGTCCTCGATGACGGCAGGATCGAGAGCATTGCAAAATTGTGGATCTGGCTCTCCACGCGGAGTCACTTATTTACACGCGTGGGGCTTCTCGAACAATCGGCGCGGGAGATTTGGAGTGTAGAACATTCGCACCTCTAACAAGCAACGGGAATTCCGAATTCGCCAGAGCCCGGCATTGACAGAAATAACAAAAAGATACGTAAAGACGAACGTATTGTTAACGGTACTGAATATGAGGAAGGGAAAAAGGGACGGACAACAACGACAAACGACAACTTCCATATAGCAACGAACATCTATTACCCCGAATTATGTATACCGAGTGATATTATTTATTCGAATTTTTTTTTTTTTTTAAGCGTCTTTACTACTACGTGAAAGCCGTCGTCTTTACTATACGTTTTTCGAGCTCGGCGGACATTCGAGGGGCGAACAACGGTCACCGGCTTGGGTGTAATTAACTAAAATTCGTTAATTAACATTTTAATTAGTGAAAATAGTCTCATGGTTCCAATAATAAATTTGCTGAGCGTCGCCCAAAACCACTAAATAAGTAATTTTTAGAAAAACTGAGCGCCTGAGAAGCGCAGTAGTGCGCTAAAGTTACCAATTGTGGAGCAGGTACAAGGCCGGGGCTAAGTAAGAGAACGAAAAGTTCCGCGGGTGTCTTACCGCAACCGCTAGCCTTGTACCTCCTCCACGAGTGGTAACTTTAGTGCACTACTTCGCTTTTCGAGCGCTGAAAGTGTTTTTGAAAATGTCAGATTTAGTGGTTTTCGATAAATCTCAGCAAGTGTCCAGTTAAA